GCGTCGTGTGATATTTCCTCGCTGATCGTCCCGCGCTTGCGTAATCTACGGGGACGCGTTTCCGCGTTTCCTGCACACGCCGAGGGTTAGAGATGAGCTTCAACTAAAATTGAACAATTCCCGGCGGGATGTCATCGCTTTCTCCGCCTATGCCCGGACTGTTTGGTGAGTATACGCGCGAGCGCGCAATGGAACACGTTCTCCAACATGGGAGCGCGTACGCACCGAGCGGACAAACGAATACAGGCAACATTGCGGAGAGGCGTAGCAGAGGCAATGTATTCTACATAAGCTCGAGCAGAGTCCGGGCCAGGTTATAACCTATCCCCGTCGAATCCCAAGGGGGAGATATCTTTTAGCAATTTACCCCCGCTCGTAGCAGGCCGTGCTGCATACGTTACGCGCGATGCATACGTATCGTGCCGCCGCGCCGCTGGTTCGAGCGTAATGCGGCATCGTATCGTTGAACCTAAACGCATCCGGCGTATATGCATCGAGTACGAGCTCTGAACATAATGGGCTTGAGTCTCTCTAGTGTTGCCGCCGGTCAGACTCTGTCGGACGTTGCATATTTTGGAGTTGATCATAGATTCACGGATGCATACCTACCCGTCGAGATGGATTCGAGGAATCGAAGTGATACACCGGGTGTTGCATACGTTGCTCCGATACCGGCGGATCGTACTAGCGGAACTGTAAATATCGTGACGTTGTAGAATCGCGTACCGTTAATCTAAAACAATGCCTGCGTTAGCGTCTGGGGAATCGCGCTGCAGTGAATACGAGCGTTTGGCAGGGAGGAAAAAAAAGCACGATGAAACATTCTCCCGGTGGTACAGGTGGATGGATATTATCGGATTATCAAACGGACATATTGCAGCCGTGCAACACATGACGCTCGATCGTGTTAAGTTAATCGTGTTATTATTTAAAACGCGTTGTAGAGCGTGCCTGACTTTCAAACTCGATGATGTTTCCATAAATGTTTTGCAGCCGTTGCACAGATTGATGCTTCGCGGGAATGTTGGTTAATGTTTTTCGCCCACGCGATATCGCGAATCTCGATGAAAGAACGACGTTTCCTTCGTTCGTGCATCGACATCGGAATAAATCCGCAACCGGTTTTAAATAGAACTTTTTCCCTTTATCTCTCTGTATATCCGATTAACTTTGCTCCAAGGGACGACGAAATATCGATTCTTATATCGCGTGCTCTACTTGACACGATTTTTTCCCGAATTTCCGCTATCAAAAAATCGTCGAAACGCGTTCTCCACGCCCTCTTGTTTCGCAAAATTGCACGAAGGGGTAAAGGCAGTAGGAGTCAATTAAACGGAATGGTACTTGGAAAAGAGAGAGATAAAAAGTGGGGGAAAAAAAAAAAAGAAATTCAGTGGAATCGCGAAAACGAACGCTCGAAACTGTCCCCTACGAAGCAGTAGCTTGTACACACTGTGGAAAACATAGAAAAGTAGAAGGCGATAGATCAATCGAATCTCGGTATGGTAGAGTATCTCCGTTCTCGCGCGTTTACCGCAATACGTTGCCAGACACGAAGGAAACCGGAACAATATTTTACCCACGACGACCCGTGTATTCTCTCTAACGATCCTTCCTTCGTCCTGGCACGAATTTCCGTGCGTGCGAGCGCGAAAACCCAAGACACGGAAGAGATGGAAGTATATTGCTCGGTGGCAGGGGATCAAGGGGGTGGCATCGGACGAGAATTAATAACGGACGCGTGTATCGGTGATGTATCCTGGTCGTGTTCGGGGACTCCCCGTGGACTTTGCTGATGGAGATCTCGGAGGGAAGGGGTGGTTGCATTTGGGTGGCAGACGATGCTGACTGAACGTGCCACCGACTGAATTATTGTACGCGCGACCCTGTAAATCATAAAAACAACAAATTGCGCGCGGTCGAAGGGCGTGTGCAGAGTCGGTTCGTGTTCCTGGAAAAGCGTATACTCGCCAACCACCATGGCGTTTACGTATTTTTATACGGACATAGAGCAGCGAGCAGCGCCAGCAGTTTTCGAATCGATTGAAATATGGAGTCAGGGAGACGCTGGGCCAGCTTAATGAAAAATGGTAACTTCGGGGTAGCGGGATTCGCGCGTTGTACGATGCTCGTGTACATGCTTCAGGTTGAACCCCCTTGATCCCACTGAACCCTCGTCGACTGTGCGTTGTCACGCGACGCCCCCATCGAAATGTTTCCCGCCGAGCTGATCCACCGACTCGTCGTAGTCGTCGTCGTCGGGAAAGTTTCAGAGAATGGATATTAATGATCCCGCGACAGCGGATGCGTTAACGTAGAGGGAGAAAATGCTTGGTCGCGTATCGCGTATGCGTTTTCACGGGTACTTTGTCACGCGTGAAAATCTCGCTCCAACGTACATACACGCTCGCGTTCGCGTTCTTTCGAATATTTCACGAGTATGAATCGGAACGGCCTCGGATGCTATCGATTGAGGGGTAGAAATGCGGCACTGTTTGTTCAGAAATGTACATAGACGTGGAAACAAGTAATTGAATCGAATGTGCAAGGAAATCCCGCGTATCCATTCGACTGCAGAAGCAGATGACTGGAAGCTCCCGTTTACACGATCTAATACGGATTTGTCAGCACACGATTCCCAATCTCCCCAAAATCCGCTGAAATCGGCGATTATCGTGCGCAAGAGAAAGCCCGAGGCTCGAACTCCATTGGAGGTCGATCCAGTTTCCGACGTTGCGTCCTGTTAGATTTGGGCTTCCGGCCGTGGCACCCTCTCGAGGCATCGAATGGTAGGGTCGAATTGGGAGCATACCTCGGCTCGAACAATGCTGCCTCTAGCCAGATCTGTAAAGTCCTCTCAATTATGCGGCGATGCTAATTACTCGCGAGTGCGCACCGAAGAAGGCCCTTTAGCTCGTCCAACGGCCCTTCACAGGGCTCGGTCTACCCTTTCCTTCCCTCCTCGTTATATCGACCAAGGATGAAACCGAATCACGGGAACTCTCGATTGCTAGAGTTCTCGCCGTTTGCGCGATAGTTTTCGCCCCGACGTCCAACCACGCCACTGTAGCCCCCTCCCGGAAACTCGCGCGTCTTTTTCGCCGCGGCTTCCTACCCTAATCCGTACGAAATTTCGATACGAAACGAAAGATACGCGGGTTTGGAATTTTCTCGATTTAGTTAAAACCTCCGTTGTCTCGTCGGCGCCGCGCAACTTTTCCTTCCCTCCCCCCCCCTCTCTCTTCAATTCCAAGTTAAAAAGATTCAGATCAAGAGACTTAACGAAAGTTATTTAATAAGTAGGTAGGAGGTTCGGCGCGATTAGGATTACGTTGAATTTTGCGCGTTCACGTGCCCCGGCTGTGTATTCCTTTCTTTATACCCCGGTCTTGATTTTAGTTAACGACTTTCACCCTAACTGCGCTACTAAACGTGACCATACCGCAATGCTGCGGTAAATGAAAAGCAAACGCCGTGCTTGCTGCGGAGACCGAGGGATTGGCAAACATCGGTTTCGACGCGAGGCTGATGAAAAAAATTTCAATTAACCGATGCACTAGATCGGCGCGGGGGAGGGGAGACAGGATCGACGATGTACGCTTCTCGTACTCTCTCGCTAGCCTGGCCGAAAAAAAAGTGAAAATTAATTACTTCGTCGTTGACGCCAGAACCGGAAGAGGGATCGATCGTTTGCTTGATAGGATTAAATCGCGCGCCAGGCGTTTACCTTTTCCGCGTCCTTCTTTCCTTTTCTCCACTTTTTATTTTTTTTTCTTTTTTTCTTTTTCTTTTTCTTTTTTCGTTATTTTGATCGCGACGATACCGACGCATCGCTCTTGTCCTTTCCGGACGCTTTCGCTGATGGCACGCAACGGGAGATGATTACGTTGTTTGCGGTGGGAGAGTAGACTGTCTCACGAGCGAAATTCTTATTTCGATGTCTCCCCGTGGAAAAGGGATTTATCTCGACGCTGAAGGAAGGGTCGAAGTCTCGGAGAGATCCTCTCGCGAAAGTCGAGCGAAGCGGATTTTTATGTTCGCGAAAACTTAAATGGAATTATGTTTTAAATGAGGCTTAACGTTACGATTACGGTTATTACCGGGGTTATTACCAGGGTCTTACAGAGATCGTAAATTTATTATCAACGTTTGACTGTGTAATAGCCTTTGACGGTGTGACGAGTAGGTAGGCGAAACAAAGGATATTTTTTCATTTGACGCCTAATCACAGTGACGCCGGGTGGCGTAAAGCGCGGCACGCTCTCGTTACCGCGTATAAAAACTCGCTCTTATCACACTCAGAGTCGCTTGTTACGAAAACTACAATGAAACCATCCATCTCTCCAATTATGCTCTCCTCCGGCTTCTTCGTCCTTTATTTTCTATACACCTTCGAGCGTCCGAACCAATGTTCCCGAAACATTTAAACGATAAGAGACGCGAAATGCTAATTACCCCCGCTGAAAAGAATCCTGTTTACACGGTTCGCGTAGTTTCTATAGCAAAATTACTTCTACCTTCGTTCGGGGAGCACTGAAAATTGTAGCAAGACTTGGAAACTCCCCGGAGTGAACCGAGGTTTTGCAAGTAACTTTAATCGGGATTGAGAAAAGAGAAAAAAGGAAAAAGATTGTCCGCGGTATTTGCTTCTTTCGTTGCACAATCGTTGGTATTTTCGAGTAAATAGGGAGGAAAATAAAAAAAAAAAAGAGGGAACGATCGGATCGACGCAAGCAGACGTAACGCTCGTGTAACGTCAATAGACTACCTATCGATGGCGAGAACAAAAGAACTGTATTCGACAGCGTTGAGCGCACCTCAATAGCGATCCCCCGGCGGCTGACGAATTAAACCATCCATATTTTCCCTAAACCTGGATCCGCGTAATTGATGAAACGCTAGTTGAAGCGAGGCGTTAATTTTTTGACCCCTTCCAATTGTACGGGGGCGATGGCGCCGCAAGATTGGGGGTTGGGGGACTACGAGGCGCGCTGGCTGGATAGTTGGGCGCGATGTAACACAGTCGACTTCACTGATTGCCAATATGGCGGAGGGTATAGAGGACCGCGTCTCTCTATCTCGATCAGCGCGGATCCACAATGTGCCGCGGGCGTTAATTCCCCCGTGAAACGTATTGCACCCCCGCGATTCAATTGTTCCAGCTCCGCGACCACAGTGCTTCACGCTGCACCGCCGAGAACGAGTCGTATGCAGCTCATAATGATGTAATTTTCGAAGTGGTGGGCGTATCATTGTCGTTATCCCTCAGACGTGTTCATCGTCGGCACAAGTGAACTCGAGAAATGTGCAACACGCGAACATCTCGTTGGGCTTGTCTTTGATTGCGATTCTTTGCTCTCTTGCCCCCTCTATCTCTCTCTTCTTCTCTCTCTGACTCATTTTCACACTCGTTCTCCATCCGATAATTACGCGACGCGCAACTCTTGTTTTCCAAGCGATCTTCTTCGCGAACTTTTTAGTCGCGAGTCTCTTTCTCTCTCAAATTCGAGACAACGTATCGCCGTTCGCGAGAATAATTTCTTTCGTGATAAATAACGCGGATAGACGTATTTTGGTTGTTTATCGGTTTCGGCCCATGCGTTTTTTAAACGATACACGCGGGTACCGTGAAATCGCGATCATTTATTATGTATCCGTGCTATCATTCGTGTACACGTGTACGTGCGCGTTAAAATTTGATCAAAGCTCCCGAGCTTCCCAAAGCTCCGGTACGTTTTCGCCTTGAATGGAAAGAATAGGGAGCCGGTCTTTTGAATAATTCTGAAACCTAGGAATGTTTTATTTAAAACGATCATTGAACGGGATAACGAAGCTCTAAACGACCGCGAATGCAACAACGGGGAAATGGTCAACGGAACATCGATTTCGTTCTGTCACAAGGGCCATCGCGAACTCGCTGCCAGCCTTTCGTGTCATCGATTATTCAAGGCACCGCGTCACTTTCGTGGAAACGTTTTATCTCGATAATGCTGGTTAACCATCTATCCGAAGGTTGCTAACCCCGCAGGTTGTACGACACGCGATGGATACGAGAACACGTAACTGAAATAAGAGACTTTCAGCATCTAATGACAAGAATTGCGAGAAATTGTTCTATGCGCATGTCGCATTATGTTCTTTTGCTTTCAGATAAGCTTAGGCACCCACGTTTCGGTCAATGAAGTAGTCACGTATGAACCGCATCCAGATAATCCCAAGTCAACGCTTTTAACGCAACAAACATTCATTTCTATCCAAGGAGTGCCGCTCATCGATCATCTAGAGAGGCTACTGACGCTAACCATGGAACAGAACGCGAATAAGGTAAACTCTCTTATATTTTTTCCCAAGAATTTTCTCGTAGAATCGAATCGTTCGATTGGTGGTACGTCTTTCTTTTCGTTAGAGTATCCGTTCAACTGTGAATTCTTTATGAAATCTTTGTATCTTTTAGAAGGCCACGTCTCGATGATTAACCCAATCGATACTCTCGTAGTTTTCCATCGTGTCCAAAGATTTCGTAAGGGTTCGTTCCGACTTAGCCACCGAAGTCGCACAGATGCACAGGTGCGAAATGATAATTTTCGCACTGTAACGACGCGTCCTCGCCAAATTCCGTTTCAGGGCCGACAAGCAGTGGAATGGGTCATCGACAAACTCGACTCGAAATCCACAGACGACTTGCTTCTCCATGCGTGTCGTCAGCTGGACGATATTACGAATATCACGAAACAGGGCATGGAAGATATTCAGAACGCAGCGAAAAAATCGTTCGATGAGTTTCAGAATTTGACAGTACCTCCTCCGACTCAATCGATACCAAAGTTATAACAAAATGTTTCACGTTAGCTTCAATCTCTTTAACTAACGCTATGTAGATCTTCGATGGAACGATTGTAAGTGAAATAAAACTATTCGACCATTTCCCTCGCTATATCTCAGTATCGATATTCCAAAGGTACGCAAGGCAGGGAAAGAATTAGGAAATTTATATGCTACCATCTAATAACTATACAGTCGATGGTCATTGTGTAATAAGTTATACTAACAAGTGTATAAGAAACATATTGTTTCCATTAGCTTTTCTCGCAAACACTTAATCACGTCTTTTAAAGCGTGTTCTCTTGAGATATGAACAAGACAATAAGTGTAGTAGTTTTTTAACGAATAGAGATATATCAAGGTATCTTGAACCAGATTAATGAATTAAGGTTTATTTGATTCTTTATATACGAATGGAAAATAATATTTGTCAATCGTTCCGCAGAAGTCGCCTTAGTGAAAGAGATGTAGCTGGAGTAAGTAACGAAAGCGACTAAGGGAAATGACTGGCAGTATCACGATTTGGTCTCAGGGATCTGTTTCCGGAGACGAGGTTTTTTTAAAATTTAAAAGCTTACTTTTTTACCGGAAAAGTATGTTGAAGTGTAACGTGATAGTATTTGCAATGTAAAATATGATACGTATCGTCTATGAAGTTCAATATCTGCATATTTTATCAGAGTCTTACGTGTATAGCTTTAATTTTTCCTTGTATCTAATCGTGTAGAAAGCTTCACTTCGTGTACACATTTATAAGCGCGTGCTTCGTGGATATTCTTTTCCTCGTATTTAACGTGAATTTTCTTCGTCGTGTTTGATTCGTGTTAAACGTCGAATCAGCAAAATTCCTCTCTTCCGTAATTGACAAGCAAAACATATCGATGTGTTATTTATCCACGTCATTATCTTCACTCGAGATTTGCGCTGCAGTTGCAACGATAGTCACATAATTTAGCGAATATGCCAGATTCATATTATAAACAGACGTAACAAAGTCGATATTTTCAACCATGTAACGCTTATATCGTAGATATTTATATCAATTGTTTCAATTCCGAGCGTAGGTTTACCTGTTCCGATATTGTCGAATCGGAGATTAGAGAAGGTGAAATATATATCTATTTTTAAAGCAACAGGCTCACGTTACTTCCCGTCGTTGTTACGATTAAAGCGAATTCCACGTTATGTACGTATACCGTGGAACTCGCGATCGGACTGTGTTCGCGGGTGAGTTTGGTAACGGTCGCCCTCGACGGAAAGAAATAAGAAAATCCAGGTCCATCGTCAGAGGGAACGTTGTCCCAGGTGGTTTGTCGATACTCGTATCACATTTGAAATCGTGCCCCACGAAAACCCGATATCTTTCCCCGTCGCCCCTGTCCTCTTC